TCATTGTCCAGCTCTCTGATGCATAGCAAGTAATGGCCTGTATCAGGAACACCTTAGTCTCCAGAGTGACATCATTGCTCTTCGGTACTTTGGAGAGGTCTCTGATTATTTACAAAAGAAAAATATACATCAGGCCTTTCTTCCATATATTGCTGAGTGAGTTCAAACTGCCAATCTTTAGCTGAACATTTAATCACAAATCGCAAGGACAGTTCAGTGTGGAGCAGAGGAGAGGTTGAGATTGGATCCTTAGAGAATTATTCCCATGTTCCTAAGCATGGTCACTTAATCTTCTAAGGATGTTTGATTTGTTGTGTAAGTTTTGCCCGCCAGCTCTTGGAGTGCTGATCTTCAGGATGTCTTTAATCCTGACATCCCCCACCCCATCCCCACTCTGTTTACTCAGCACCTCTTTCCATTTTCAGATGGCTGTGGGGTTTACCTGCTCTGTTTATTCCTCGAGTCTAGTCCTCAGCCATTCACATCTCCAAACAATTCTGTTTCCTAGTTGACTCCAATTTCTCTCTGAAAAAGAACTAAAAGGTTTTCTTTGCCAGGAAATCTGAGGGGCAGAGTTGGAGAAGATGATAGTCTATCACTCCAAATACAACGAGTTCAGAGGCCACCTTTTCAAGACTTACTACAATAGACGGCTGCGACACTTTTATATTACATAAGCATTTCATAAATAGAAAATAATTAAGGGTCACTGGTTTGGAGGGACTCCTCTCACGACCACTGTAGTGATCTCATCATTGTCACCAACAACTATCTCTACCCTCTTTCCTTCCTCCCACTAATTTTCTCAGAGACAATTTTAGGAGGTCAGGTTCTACTGCTACAGGACTTACCACACCACGCAGTTCACACCACAGGTTCAGGACCCTTTGGGAGAGGCAGCACTGGTGATAGGCTCACACCATCTTGCTCTTTCAGGTCAGAAGATAAAGCTAGGTGTTATGTCTGTGTTTCTGCATATCAGCGTTTAGGTACTTGCCTTCTCTAGCGGAAGAACTCAACCCAGAGGTTTGGGCTGAATTAAAAAGTCACTTTTGCTGAGGGGAGACTCTGACCAACCAACCTGCCGCAAAGTCGTTAAGCCCTCTATGCCCTAGTCAGCCAGTTGGCTTTGTTTTTTCATCAGGAAAAACTTGGAGAGGCTAGGTAGCCAATCTCGCAGTGGGACTGAAATTACCTCCTGACTAGGAATTTAAGGAGACTCTAGTCTTTCCTATGTTGGGGAGCAGAAGGCACCTCAGCGTGTAATTGTCATGGAGGATTCTGGGATGCATCTCACCACTCTTTAAGGGATGAGGAACATGCGTCATGTAGCAAGGTCCACTTGTTTGATTCCTCTGTCTAGCTGATAGTTTTGCTTCCCTGCTGGAAAGGTTTAGCTCTTGGTAGCATGTAATGTTCCTGCACATGCTCCAAGAACTCAAGAACTGCTTCCACCTGATTGATTTCAATTCAGACTTGGTTTCCAGGAAATTCATCCATAGAAAACACAGTTTTTTTCAAGGAAAGGTTAGGAGCCACCTGATGCTAATGGAGTTCAAGATAATTACAGGTTATAGGAAAGGGCTGAGGGTGAAGTTCTCAGGAGTGTACAGATGTTTACAAAGGACTAGGTGCTAGAGGGAGCTCTGGTGGCATAGAGGGAATGGAGCTACAGTGCCAACCCAAAGATTCAGAGTTTGAATCTCCCAACTGTTTTTTCCATGGGAGAAAAATGTAGATCTCTTTGTGTGAAAAACCCACTGGAAAGTCAGCGATGTGCAGGCTCCAATTGGCATCAGTGAATTAGTTATAAGTGCTGTGGGGAGCTCTCAAAACCCATTGGAGGGTCAGCTATGAGTGGGCTCCCGGGAGTTCTAGGTGGCCCAGAGAATGTACCTCTCTTCTGTTAGAACCCACCAGTGGCGCCAGTCTCTTCCCATGTAATTCACAGCTTTCAGAAACCTAAAGGAAGGTCACTTATGAATCAGTTTCATCTCAATGGCATTAACTTTGAGTGTTATAGGTGCTGTAAGACAAAAGCAGCTATCCTGTCCCTAACATTAAATACATTCTAAGAAACAAGGCCCGGGAAGAGTATTGAACATCCCACGGACTACCAAGAGAACAGAGGTCTGCCCGGAAAGGGTGAAACCAGGCTGCTTCTTGGAAGGAAGATTTTGAAGCTCCATCTCGCGTACTTCGGGGACGTCGCCAGCCAAACGAGGTAAGAAAAAATTGACAGGAAATAATAACGTGTATGGGGGCCCAAAGGGAGCTCTGGTGTGTGCCCTAGTGGCAAGAAGCTGCACTGCAATCCCGAAGGCACGCGGTTCGAGGCCACCAGCTGCACTGTGGGAGGAGGATGGACTATCTCCTTCCAGCGGATTAACTGCCTCTGAAAACCCGCTGGAGGGACAGCTATGGATCGGTTCCAACTCTGCGGTACACAAGAACAAACAACGACAATATGGGGGTGAGGATGGGCGGGGTAAAGGACAGCATTGCACAATTGGTGGGTGGAGGGAGGGGGCAAAGGAAATGGGACCTGAAAAGAGAGGGTAATGCTGGCCATAGTTCATTGGCTATTAATTTTATAAAACACAATGTATGGGAATGGTTGTACGAAACAATGTTAATGTAGGAAAGTGTGTGTGTGAATTCTGCATAAAAATAAACTTAAGTTTAAAAAAAATAAAAAGGGGAAAGGGATGGGGGCGGAAACCAGCTTATTGCGGGCGCCTCGAGCGTCTGAAGCTGCACATGACAACAGCAGATTGATTACCCAGTCGTTATCCAATGGTGCTGCTGCTGGATTCGAACCACGTACCATCTAGGGGGAAGCAGCCTCACTTGCAACACTCTACACCAGGTGAGCTCCCTAGTGGTATAATGATTAAAGGAAATGCACAATCCGTCAAAGATGCTTGAAGAGGCTCAAAACCAGGCAAACACACACGTGTGCGCCTGGGCGCGCGAGCGCGTATATGCACACCACACACACACGCCCCAATGCACTAGGCAATTTTGTTTACCCACCCAGTTAGTTTTCCTAAACTTAGTTTTCTAAATGCTGTCCCAGATCTGCAGCATTTGACAGCACATAACACCGCCAGCAACAACACTTCATTTGGGGAACTTGTTAGACACGCAAACGGCCCGGCTGCGGCTGGGATTTACAGAGTCAGCACATCTGAGGGCTGTCCTGCGAGCCCACCCGGGAACTCTGCCGGGCGCCCGGCTTTGGGAACCTCTGGCCCCGGACCACGTCACCGTGACTCTCTTACCAGGGACAGCTGCGCTCCTCCCCTCTCCACGCCCCTCACTCATTTCCCTTTCTGCTCCGCCAAGGACACGGGAGCCGGATTGCCCAGGCGCGGGAGAGGACAGGTGTTCACCCGCGGGCTTTCCAGGGGCGCTAACCTCTGCCCCGCAGTGTTCCCCAACCTCCAAAGGTGGAGCCAGGCCAGCCCCGCCTCGCACACCTCCAGCTGAGCTGATACCTGGGCTGGGCGTAGAAACGTAAGCGGAGGAGCAACACCTTTGACAAAAAGTTTTCTGGTCTCCACTCCGAGCGCCAGAGGCTGGGAGCCGGTGGAGCCGCCGCCATGGGTACGTGCGCAGCGCGAGGCGCGCGGGGGTCGAGCCGCGCCGAGTTCTGGCCGCGGTTCCCGCGCCGTGGGGGCATCTAGGGCACAGCGCGGGGTTCGGGTCAGGCGGGAGGGGCAGGAGGACAGCGTGGGGTCCGGGTCAGGCCGGGAGGTGCGGGAGGCACAGCGCGGCGTCCTGGCCGTCTCCCGTGGCTCACAGGGCGCATCTCCGGGGCTGGGAGCCGGGAAGACTGGAAGGTCTGCGGGCGCAGAGCGCGTGGCCCGGACGCGCTACTGAGGCGGGAAGCGAAGTGAGCGCGGAGTTTGCGGAGACGGCCGCATCCCCTGCTCTGCTCGCTGAGCCTCTCTCAGGCAGAGGAGAGGTCTGAGCGACCTCCCGCCAGCATTTCGCATCCGGGGGTGGGAATACCCAGAGGCTCTGGCTGGAGTGAAGGAATAAGCCCCTTCTTGGCCACTTGTTGGCAATTTCTGGTTGTCAGTGCTGACCGGTATGCTGGCGTTGGTGGTCGCTTTATGACCTTTGCTAGCGTAAGATAAGTCAGTTCGCTAGGTAAGCACGGGCTGTCGTATTATGCTCCGTCATGTGCAGTGAACAGTGGTGGACAAACAGTGGTGACAATGCAGAGCTGCTCTCTACAGACATAAGCACAAGCAAGTCCCTGCTTTCCACCTTGTGCGTGGAGTAACCCGCCCCCTGGCCTTGCATTTCTTGCCTCTGCATTTCGTTACCCTGGAATTCTAGAGGGAAACCTAGTTGAGAAAGAACCCAGCTTGTCTGGCGGTGATCTCCTAAGGGTCTGCCACTGCAGCTTGATAGACGTTCACCGAACATCTGGGAATCCCCTGCTGGACTTAAGATGAAATGCACTCATGCATTGCGGTCTAGTCAAAACCCACTCATAACTGACCCTGCATTGTATTTGAGAGGAGTCGACCTGTCTTCCTCCTGCAGAGGTGCTGCTGGTTCTGGTCCTCAGAGGGGAGGCATTTGGGTTGCAAGGCAATTGCCTATGGACCATATACTAAGTAACTAAACTCCCTTAAGATAAAACAAGGGAGCTTGAATGAATGCAGAACTAGGAAGCTCTGACAGCCCAGTGGGAAGAAGCTTCGCTGCCGTCTCCAAAGGCCTGTTGGAACCCACCAGTAGTTCCACGGGAGAAGGATGGACAGGCTCCTTCCGTGCAGTCAGCTGCCTCTGAAAACCCACTGGACGGTCAGCTGTGGGTTAGTCCCAACCTCATGCACGTAACAACAGAGCATGTTGTTAGGAGAGGCTATTCCTTGGAAAGGGACATCATGCTTGGAAATGGACCAAGAAAGAAAGACAGACCCTCAACCAGGTGGATTGACACAGTGACTGCTCCAATGAGCTCAAGTATGTCTGAAATGATGACGGCACAGAGGGACAGAGTTCAGACCTGGTATTCGCAGGATCACGGTGAGTTACTCGACTCCTACACACCAAACAATAATAACAAAGAATGAAGAGACCTGAGGGCAGCTCAGCCTTGTTCTCTGCTTCAGATGGGAGTCAAGTGATTCCCTCGGTGAACTATAGAACCTGCTGTGGGTAGGTCCCAACCTGGTCCTTCTTGCCCCTGACTGACAGTCGAACTTACCTGGCTGCATTTCTATTCTAGTCCTACTGCTGCTACTTCCATATTTCTTTGGGTCTGGACTTTCCCACCCATTAGGTTGAAATAACAATATCTATCTCACTTAATTGTGTGAGAAGATACAGGGAACTACTTAATACCTGATGCCCAGCACTCGAATTGGCTCTCACAGTCCTTCCTTTAAGAAGCTCTCCGGCATAGTTCATAGGGAGTTGTACTGCATCAGGGCCTCAGGTGGTTTGAATCCATGTGCTGCTTCTCTGGAGAAAGATGGACAATCTTCTGCACTGCCATTTATAACCTGAGGTGGCTCAGCTGAGTCCATTACACCTTAAAGGCAAGACGTTTGTGTTTGTTTTTTGTTTTGTTTTTTAAATTTTATAATTGTGTGTGTGTGTGTGTGTGTACGTGTACCATCAAATCAGATCTGACTAGTACAGGAGGAGATTGACCCTCCTTCTCCAGCAGAGCATCTGGTGGATTTGAACGGTGTACCTTTGGGGTTGCAGTGCAGCTTTTTCCCACTAGGCCACCTCAGAAGTTTGTGTTCTTATTGGACCACATGGTATCTTGGTTCTAAAGGAGCGGTGTTGAGTAGTTTATACTTTAGACTTTTAATAGTTGTTCTATTCATCCTAGAGACTTTAGGGTGGTGGCCATCAGCAGATTTGCCCCTAAGAGGAGGGCGTGGCATCCAGATTCCTGGGCTGGAGTTCCAACTTTTAGCTTTTGTGACTTTTCTTAGAAATGCTCTAAAGATTCCCTCCCCCTCAAAGATACAAAGCATCCGAGTAGCATTTGTGTTGAGTTAGAATTTGCTGACCTGTGTTTAGCATTTCCAACAGATAGTTTAATCAGGCAAAGCTGTCAAAGACAACAGCCTGGTTCTCAGTGAATGAACACAGTGTTAGCTTTTGAAGGGTAGTTCCAGATGAATTGATATTTTTATGAATTGGGCCCTTTGTGAGTGTGTGTGAACTGAGATCACTATAATACAGGAGTGTCAACACAAAGTTTCTATTCAGACACCACAGCCTTTGGGTTTTGTTTTTGCTGACGTCTCAGATTTTAAATTTCAAGACTAATTAGTAAGGAAACAAATAACTACATACTTTTTTAAAAAATGACAGTATAGTAGTGTCTTCCTTTCTTAAGGATAGATCTTTGGTACTTGTTGGGTGTCTTCTAGTGGACCATGACTCACAGACCCTATGAACCACAGATGGAAAGTTTGCCCTTTTCGGTACCATCCTCACAATCTGTCATAGCCAAGTCCATTGTTAGTCATTGGCTCAGCCAATCTCGTTGAGAATCTTCCTTTGTTCTACTGACCCTGCACTTTGTCTTAGTTCAGGTACCTTAAAAAGGAGGGACATTTGGTGGACATTTGGAAGGAGGAAAAGAAGCCAGTAAACAATTCTTGGAGAAACATTCCTCTTGTTCTGATTACATCCCACTGCACAACTGGAACAGCTTTCACAACAGGCTTTGTCACTATGTTAGGAATAGAGGGGTGATGGACAATGATTCAGTAAGATAGAGATGTGATGAAATTCATGACTTTAGTATTAAGCAATTTATCACAACAACAATAAACCGGGCTTTAAAAGTATGTAAAAAATGCATTTGTCCTGCAGAGATTCTGAAGCTGCATCTGACATACTTTGAGTATGATGCAAGGAGGGACTCCTCATGGAGGGTGGAGGAGACAGTGCAAGAGAAGAAGATCCTTGATGAGATTAATTGACTCAGTGGTTAGGGTAATAGGGGTAGGTGTGTCAGAGACAAAGTTTGTTCAGGACAGATCATGGTTCAGAGCTGTTATACATAGCTTCGGAGTTGCAAGGGACTCGATGGCACATAACAACGACAACAAGCTGTGGTGCATGGATGCATCAAAACGTTGAAATCATGAACTGCAGAGCCTTTGATCTAAAGCAGGAGCCTGCAAGGCAAAAAATTTTTTTTCTAGTATATTTCTTTTTTTGAGTGAAAGTTTACCAAGCAGATTGGCTACTTTTCATCCAACCATTTGTGCACATTTTGTTTGATAACATTATCTTATCTTAAATGTCATCACACTCTCTTTGTAATGCTCATTCTTTCTGCCTACACCTTCCTGACTTCTGGGCTTCATCCTTGGACAAATGCTGTCTTTACTTTCTGTGGTTGATTATTGACAAGAGTGAGTTCCTCTCTGGGTGTGATATTCACCTTGCAGGCCTGTCAATTGTTTGGATCTCAGCAGAAAGATAGGCATTCTCTTCTCTGATATTTATAGATTTTGAGAAACTCACTGGAGGATGAGCTGTGATTTGGGGAAGGTCTTTGTGTCTTCTGAGTTGCTGTCCTGTGTACCTGTCTCTGCTTGCTCATTTGTTTGTTTTGTTATATCTTAAAAGAGGTTGATTCAAGGCAAACTCTTCACTGATTATCATTAGCATAGCAAAGAAACCTTATTCCCAAGTCAGTTTATGGACTAGTCTTCAGGCACTAGGTAGCAGTGGACCAGGAAGGCTGACATTCCTGCTCTCAGATGACAGCTAGAAGCGAGATTACTCCACACTTGAAGAGGGCATGTAGCATTTGACCGTATCCAGAAAGAAGAGATCACATGTATCAGGGGGCTGTGTTCAACTTGACAGTGCTCTGAATTGGTAGCTTTCAATCTTATCACATATCAGGAGCACTTGAGAAGGAATTTCTTAAACCAGATGCCTGGGCCCCCCTCATAAAGTTTCTGAGTCAGCCCAAGAATTTGCATTTCAACAAGATAACAAGTGATACTGATCCTGATGCACCAGGTGACTCTAAATCATTGTTGTTGGGTACCATCAACTAGTCAACAATGACTCCCAGCAACCCTCTGACAAGCAGATCTGAACCCCTCCCTGTCTGCCTCAGCCCCACAATCTCTGATACCCCTGAGCCATCACTACACTCACGGTGTTAACCTACCTTGTTCAAGGTCTTCCTCTGACTGGGCACCTCTCCCAGCATGATTTCTTTGTCCAAGGACTGGTCTTTCCTGACAATGTGCCCAAAGTGTGTGAGATGACATTTCACTATCTTTCACTATCTTGGAGTTATCCATCCCCTAAGACAAGCATGTTTGTTCCTATGGCAGGAACATCACAACTCAAAGGCGTCCATTCCTTTTCCTGACCCTTGCCTCTGTCCAAGGGCTGCCAGTGTGCGCAAGGATTAAAAAAGATGGGAAGAAGATCTAGCAGGCATGGCTCCTGGCTTATCTGTGTGGGTACACGCCCATGAAGAAAGAACTTTGCATACATCATACTTGGAAGTTGAAAATTATGTCTTAAGATCATGGGGCTAGAAGCACTGGGTTGAAGAACCACTGTGGTCCAGCTCAGATTGCTAATGGTTGTTATGTTGTTAGGTTCCATTCAGTTGACTGTGACTCATTGCAACCCTATGAACCACAGATCTGAACTCTGCCCTATCCTTGACCATGCTCCTCCTCCCCCATAGACTTGAGCTTATTGCCTCAGACACTGGACTAACCCATCTAACTGGTGGTTTCCCTCTCTTTCGCTGACCCTGCATCTTTCCTAGGAACAGCCTTTCCAAACAACATGCTCAAAGTCTGTGAGACAAAACTTTGCCATCCTTGCCTCCAAGGACCCCTGTTAACCAGAGGGCACTTTCTCTGTTTGTTCTTTTGGCAGACCATGGGATATTTAGTACTCTTCTCCAACACCACAACTCAAAGGCATCAGTTCTTTCCTGTCACCCTTATTTATTGTCCGGCACAACAGGAGGTGGATCCAAATCTCTCAGTTGTGCAGATAAGTGTTCGTTGTTATTGTTGTTGTTGTTGTTGTTATGTTACTTGCGTCTCATAGTGACCCTATGTACAACAGCCCTAAACTCTGCTCTGTCCTGCGCCAATCACACTGTCTCTGACACTCCCATCCCAATTACACAAGTCACTGAATCAATCCACCTCATAGAGGGCCTTCCCCTCCTGCGCTGTCCCTCCACCCTCCAAAGCATGATGTCCCTCTCCAAGGACCGGTCTCTCCTCACAACATGTCCAAAGTATGTTAGATGGAGCTTCAGAATCCTTGCCTCCAAAGAGCTGCCCGGTTTGACCCTTTCCAGAATGAATCTGTTTGTTTTCCTAGCAGTCCATGGTACCCTCAATACTCTTCTCCAGCACCACAGCTCAAAGGCATCAATTCTCCTTCTATCCTCCTTAGTGATTGTCCAACTCTCTGATGCATAACAAGTGATTGCGAAGACCATGGCCTGTATCAGACGCACCTTAGTCTCCAGAGAGACACGATTGCTCTTCAGTACTTTGAAGAGGTCCCTAACCGCAGACTTTCCCATCGCACGATGACTTAATTTCCGGGGTACTGGTGCCAAGAGTGTTGACTGTGGAGCCAAGCAAACTAAAGCTGTGAACAATCTCAATCTCTACACCATCCATACTGATGCTACTAATTGGCCCAGTGGTGAGAATCTTTGCCTTCTTGACATTGAGCCTCAATCCATATTAGAGGATGCAGTCCTTGACCCTCTGCAGCAAGCGCTTCAGGTCCTCCTCAGTTTCAGCAAGCAGCGTTGTGTCATCTGCATAACGCAGATTGTTGCTAGATCTTCTACCAATCTTGACCCCACATTCCTCCTCATAGAGCCCAGCCTCCCAGATAATCTGTTCTGCATACAAGTTGAAAAGGTATGGAGACAGGACACATCCCTGGTGTTTACCATTTATAAAATAGTCGTGCCTTAAAGAAACTCACATCCTTACAGGCAGGAACATAAGCTCAAAAATAGCATCCCCAGCCCCACC